GTTGAAAGTAAATTAAACTTAAAAATCCCTAAAAATCTGAACTCTCCAACTTAAAAAATAAATAAATAAATACCGGTCAGAAAAATCCACCCAACCTTTGCCTCAACTTTCAAACACAATAAAACAGAATGATATTGAAAACCTTGGCATCCCACAACACATGAAAAGAGACTAAGGAATCCATACTATTTCTTGAAGGAACTCTCGACCTTAATCAGTGAATTTTGGTGATCCTTATTTCAACATTTTCCACTAACTATCTTATCCTGTCAGTCCCAATGTTAAACCTAGATATTGAACGAAGACCAGAAACAAACTCTCCACTACCACCACATCACTGTATCTAAATTGGTACAGAGCAAAGAATTGTTATAGAAGTATTTACACAGTTTTATTTAGTTTCTACTGAGTCTCGTGTCTTTGAAATTAATTTAAGTTTTTCCTAAAATTTTACGATTTTATTTTACTTAGAAGCGTGAGTGTACGGAGACATGTGTTCTGAGGTGTAGTGGAGTCCATAAGCTCCCCCATACACCACTTTCACCCGCCATACACTCCCTCACCCTTACACACACCCTCATCATCCATCCACACACACACACACACCCTTTACCCACACACATACACCCCGATCACACACCCACCCACACCACCACTAGACACTGCCTGGTGAACAAAGAGCCATTACCACCACAACAACAACAGCCTCAACCAGCATAATTCATGGGTGAAGCACCATCACTCATCCACCTCTCATCATAATTGGATCCCCGGAATCATAAATTAAGGTGTATTCCCTCATCGCAAGTCAGGTCAGAGGCTAAGCGAGGTAGTCCCATGGAGGTAGGGAGAGAGGCCAGGTGAGGTAAGGTGAAGTTGCTTTTTAACTGTGTGAGGTCTTCTTGTCAGCTGGCCGCCATGGGATACTCTTCCGGTCTAAAACTACACCGTGACTTCCTTTGAAATTCTGACTTAATTTTCATGCACATTCTGATATTCCGAAACGTAGATATGGTTAGGTTAGGTTAAGGGTGAGAGAGGTACGAATCTTCAGGTGATCTCAATTTGTTTTCTCAATCCTCTCCGTAATCTTAATCTACTTACCAATTAATAAAAAAAATGGAACGTTGTCTCAATTATACAAAAAAAAAATCTACAAAAATATAGCCAGGTAAACCCCGGTAATTACTCACCTGTGTCCTCAAACCAGTAATTAGCAGCCACGGTTCTATACCTTCTATATGGTGCAGTAAAACCAGCTTTTAATCTTATCTAATTACCCCCCCCCCCCACCTTCTTCCCTCACTAGACGCGATGGGGGGAGGGGGGAGGAGGTGTGGTGTGGTGTGGTGTGGGGTGGGGTGGGGTGGGGTGGGGTTGGGGTGGGGGTGGTGTGGGGTGGTGTGGTGTGGAGAGGAAGATGGCTTGAAGTCCTAAGCAAATACACGTAAAGCATAAGGTTAGGTTAGGTTCAACACAACAAAAGAATCTGAACAGGTATACTCAGGTGTGACAGAAACACTCATTACCTACCAAACTCCTGCACACACACATTAAGCACCACCGAGAGTGTTTATGTTAAGAGTAATCACCGTTGAATTAAATTGAAACAGAAAAATACAGATACAGAGTGGAAAATAATAACAATATTAACATGGCTGAGCCAGTTGAGAACCTGAGCTCTCTTTTAGGCACCTGATATATACTATACATTAATCTCAAGGAAGTATTATGTAACATTTAGTAACATCTGGAATAGTACAATAGCATGGTGGTGTACAGTGCACGGCTGCCCAGTACACTACACCTGGTGATAGCGAGTCCGTGGAGTACACCTGACTGGGATCATATGGAAATTAGCACCAACCAACTAAAGCATATTTCACCTGATGATTAAACACCCTAACGCTACCTAGGGGAGGTTAGATTACTGTTAGGTTAGGTTAGGTTAGGGTAGGGTAGGGTGGGGTGGGGTAGGGTAGGGTGGGGTAGTGAAATAGGCTGTGGGAGCTAATCTTCAGGTGAAGTAAGCTGACGTTACGCCACACACGCTTACATTTCCTCTCTCCCTCCCCTCCTTCATTCTCTCTCCCCCTTCTCTATTTCTTCTCTTCCCTTCCACGCTTTCTTCTCTCCCTCCTCTCTTTCCCTCATCAATTTCTCTTCTCTCTCCCTCATCCAGTTCTCCTATCTCTCTCTCCCTCATTTCTCCTCTCTCCCTCCCGTCATTCATCCCCTTTCTCCCTCTTCCAATTCTTCTCTTTCCTTCCTCCATTTCTTCTCACACCCTCCTCCAATTTTTCTCTCCCTCCTCTCCTCTTCCCTCTTCTCAAGACGTCTGGCCACCCCACCCCCACCCCTCTCGACCACCCACGAGTCTATCTGATATTCATTCTTCTCTCCCTAAAAGGGTTTAACACTTAGACCTGTCACAGCTCCCTAGGTGGCCTCTCACACTCGCCTCCTCCCTGCTTACCTTATCAGTCTTGAGCATCAACCTCTCATACCTCCTTAAGTTCTTCCGTTTCTCTTTGTTCCTCTTCACGTTATCTCTCACAGGATACTTGAACCTACAGTATAAGCCTTACACCTGACCTAACCTAACCTAGCCTAACCTTTAAGCCTTACACCTAACCTAACGTCACCTCACCTCCTCACGTCACGTCACCCCGTCACCTAACATTAACCTAACCTAACCCAACCTAACCTAACTTCACCTAACCTCACCTCAATTAATTAACTCCTCGTACACTATGCTCCCGCCCTTTGGTTTGTTTACATCTAGGCGGCGTCAGCTGATCAGGCGAGGTACACCAGGTAATATAGCATTAACTATCACCTGTAGACGCTCACTATAGATTACACCATTAAAGGTAACTGTTAAGAGAGGGTTAATGGCGCTCTTAACCTGTTCTGTTAAAGGAGTATCATTCTAGTATATCATAAACAACTACTTATAATATCCACATCATTAACACAACCCTGAACCAGTTGAAATACCCGCATCATTAACGCAACCTTGAACCAGTTAAAATATCCACATTTTCACAACCTTATAACTTAAAATATCCACATCATTAACACAACCCTGAACCAGTTAAAATACCCATATCATTAACACAACCCTGAACAAGTTAAAATACCCACATCATTAACACAACCCTGAACAAGTTAAGGGAACACATCATTAACACAACCCTGAACAAGTTAAAGGAACACATCAGCCTAAACTTCCACCTGAATAATAAACAAATACCATTACGAAAGTCAACAGGAAGTTTGTAAATCTTAAAAACTTCCCAAAATGACATCGTGAGTAGGAAACCTCTTCAGTGTCGAATTTGAAGAAGTTTCCTCCAAGTGAGATGTTACTTTGTGTCGCCAAGGAGAGAAAAATGTTTGTGGGAACAGGGGGTGGGGGTTAGGTTAGGTTAAGTGCTGAAAATATTTTGTATACATTGTTATTGTCCAGGAAATAAAGGTGAAGAATTAGAGTCTCTCTCTCTCTCTCTCTCTCTCTCTCAGACATACCCATATACCTGCATTGTTTATTTACAATACAGGACAAATCAATGGAAACTTTTATGTCGATTTTACTGAATAAACATATATCTATCTATCTATCTCACCCACCTACCCATCCTCCCACTCATCCTCCCACCCACACACATAAGAACATAAGAAAATAAGGAGTCTGCAATAGGCCGGTTGGCCTGTGCATGGCAGCTCCTGTCGAGAGTTACTACCACTCCCTATCATCCATGAATCTATCCAGCCTCCCTTTGAAACTTTCCAGCGTTCCAGCACTTACTACAAGGTTGCTAAACTTGTTCCACTCGTCCACCACCCTATTTGTAAACCAGTTCCTTCATATCTCCCTCCTAAACCTAAACTTATCCAACTTGAATCCGTTGTTCCGAGTCCTATCCTGTTCGGATATTATAAGAACTTTATCTATATCCCCTTTATTGATTCCTTTCACCCACTTGAATACTTCTATCATATCTCCCCGCACTCTTCGTCTTTCCAGGGAATGCAAGTTTAGCTTCTTTAACCTATCCTGATATGGAAGATTTCTAAGTCCCGGAATCATTTTCGTCATTCTTCGCTGCACCGACTCTAGTGAATTGATATCCATTCTATAATAAGGGCACCAGAACTGAACCGCATACAGTAATCGAGGTGCGGCCTGATTAGCGCAAGATATAGTTGCAATAAGACCTCTGCACTCTTATTACTTACACTTCTAGATATAAAACCCAATACTCTGTTTGCCTTATTTCGAACATTAACGCACTGTTTTCTAGGCCGTAGGTCCGGGCTTAAAAGTACCCCTAGGTCTCTTTCACTAGTCGACTTCTCTAGGTTGATGTTGTTAAGGCTGTATACATTGACAGTATTTGTTCTTCCAATATTAAGTACGCTGCACTTGCTGGTGTTGAATTTCATTTGCCATTTTTCAGACCACCCCTGCAGTTTATTTAGATCCTCCTGTAATGCATTTGCATCCTGCCCTGAATTAATCTGCCGCCCTATTTTGGTGTCATCCGCAAACTTGCTTATGTCACTGCTGATCCCAGTATCTAGATCGTTTATGTAGATTATGAACAAGAGTGGGCCTAGTACTGACCCCTGGGGAACCCCACTGGTTACACAGCCCCACTCAGATTTAACACCATCTACGCTGACCCTCTGAGTTCTATCGGTGAGCCATGATTTTATCCAATTTAAAACTTTCCCCTCGATACCATGAGCCTTAATTTTTCTCAGAAGCCTCTGATGCGGTACTCTGTCAAATGCTTTGCTAAAGTCTAAGTAATTAGACACCCACCCACCCATCCACACACACACTATTACACTACACACTCCACCCACCCACCCACTCACTCCACTCCACCACTCCACCCCACCCACCCACACCAGGCAGCACAATAGTCCTAAATTGATGCCCAAAACACAACTCTGCCAGCATGTCCTAAGTGCTGTCCTCCTATCCATAGACGAGGCGCGGCGAGAGTCGGAGGACGGCGGAGACCGGAGAGCCAGGAGATCCAGGAGATACTGCGAGGAGGACGAGGGGCAGGCCAGCAAGAAGAAGGATGACGAGGACGATGAGTAAGTCAGTCGTCTCATAGTGCTGGGGTGTGAGGGTGGGAGGGAGGGTCAGGGGAGGGAGAGAGGGTCAGGGGAGGGTAGGAGAGGGCTGGGAGGGAGGGTCAGGGGAGGGTCAGGGGAGGGTAGGGAGAGGGTCAGGGGGGAGAGGGGTCAGGGGAGGAGGGGCCAGGAGGGAGGGTCAGGAGGGGAGACAGGAGGGTAGGAGAGGTCTGTGGGAGGGAGAGAGAGGGTCAGGAGGGAGGGAGGTAGGGGAGGTGGGGAGGGAGAGGAGGCAGGGGAGGGAGAGGGAGGAGAGGAGAGAGAGGGAGAGAGAGAGAGAGAGAGAGAGAGAGAGAGAGAGAGAGAGAGAGAGAGAGAGAGAGAGAGAGAGAGAGAGAGAGAGAGAGAGAGAGAGAGAGAGAGAGAGAGTGAACAAACCTGGAAAATTTATAGTATCAAGAGTAAAGTATTTGACGCATAATAAAGTTTTTTGCATGACATACATAAACTATTCCTTTAAAGTCTAAAACATATACATAATTTACGGAACATTCCTCTTAAATCTGGGATGTCTAATCTTCAGGTGAAATAAACTGGGGTGTTTATTCTTCAGGTGCTCCCAGTTATAAAAGCTATACCGTATATTACTAACACCACATCTTGTAATCCGCTTTAAATAACCTAACCTAACCTAACCCCACCTAGCCTAACCTAGCCTAGCCTAACCTAATCTAACCTAACCTAACCCCACCTAACCTAACCTAGCCTAGCCTAGCCTAACCTAACCCCACCTAACCTAACCTAACCCCACCTCCCGCCGTCGTTCAAGTTCTTCAGTTATTGTATCACTCTCAATGTAGCAGCTATCTGTTCATCAGTGGGCGACACCAAGGGGACCACTCCACTAACGCCCTACTCAAGCCTTCCTCATCCACCTCCTCCTCTCTCTCCTTCCTCTCACCCACCTTCCTCTCACCCACCTTCCTCCTCCTCTCACCCACCTTCCTCATCCTCCCTCTCTCTCTCTCTCTCACATATATAACCCCCTCCCATTCTCTCCCTCACATAACCATCTCACACACACTAACTCTCCCCCATCTCCACCCTTCCAGAGAGATGTTGAACCCACTAGTATACCGCGAGACGCTGTCGGGACGGTCGAGGCGAGGTGGGATGATGCGACGAGCCTACACCCCAGATCGTGATGCCCTCAGCCGCTCCACCGCTGCCGCCGCCTCCCTCAGATCACGCTCACATTCCCAACCTCCAGAGATCAACCACAACGATGTGTCCAGGCGCCAACGCAAGAAGAAGTAGAAAAAGGAAGAGATAGATAAGCAGAAGATAATGATGATAATAGCAATACAAGGAGACACTGTTGTTGATGACACGAGTAGATGACAGTCAGATTACACATGAGGACATACCAGTTATAGTTCGCCAGTTCAAGGAATATTACAGTCACTAAATTAAAGTGGGGGTAACAGTCAGAACAATAATCTGACTGTTAACTACTTATTTATTTATTTTTAATTACAATCAGGTCAAATAAATGGTCCAGTTATAATCTAAAGAACTGTTCACATGTCGGAGAAAATGTCAATTAAAGTTAAAACGAAAGATGTAAACAAAATGACACGATAACGAGAGTAAACGAAACACAAACAAGAAACAAGCGAGAATGAAGATGTAAGAGATGGAAAAGATAATACGATAACGTGAGTAAACAAAATACAAACAAGAAAGAGGATAAAGAAGACAAAGAAAGAAGACAATTCAAAACACAAGATTTGTTTGGTATTTATAAACGAATAAAAATATAAACATTGTCTTCACAGTTTTCACAAAGGTAAACAATTAGAGCTTTAAGAAACGTTTATGCTATGGGATTACAGTGAAACGTTGATGAAAAGATTACAGTCAAACGTTTATGCTTATGAGAAGATTACAGTCAAACGCTTAGGCTAAGGATAAAATTACAGTCAAACGTTTAAGCTTTGAGAAGATTACAGTCAAACGTTTAAGCTTAAGTGAGATTACAGTCAAACGTTTAAGCTTAGAAAATTACAGTCAAACGTTTATGCTTATGAGAAGATTACAGTCAAACGTTTAAGCTTATGGGATTTTGCAGTCAAACGCTTAAGCTTAGGAGAAGATTACAGTCAAACGTTTATGCTATGAGGAAACTATATTGAGGCCCACAATATATATATATATATACATACATACATGGCTGGAGGGGGGGGGGGGCGAACACGAGAGCTCACAATTACGAGTCACATGTCATTAGTATCTCAAGTTCGGTAATCCCCGCTGGTATCTCAAGTTCGGTAACACTCTCCTTCGCCTATTACGAAAAATTATGAACAAGAATTCCCCCTCCCTCCCCCCACGATATGAACACCATGATGAACACCGTGATGAACACCATGATGAATACATAAAATAACAAACATTGAACAGTAATAGTCGAGCGTTTTACATACATACATACAGACGATAAAACCTCACGTTAACTGGTACTACCTAACGAAAAAAATAAAAAATAATAGGAACTAATAAATAGCAGGGGGTATCCTATTGGGTATATTGGAAGTCATATAGCCCGGGAAATATAGGACAAAAAATATATATGAAAGTTATAGAGAGAAACACAACAACTTTACTCAATAGAATCGGTTTTTTGTTGTTGTCGGTTATCGTGTTGTTAAATCCGGTAAAAGAATTCAACGAGTGTGTGTGTGTATATGACCGGATCGTTTTCCCATGCACTTCAAATTTTACTGTTTTTTTTTTCCCTCAACAATCTTTATGGAAATACAAATATTCGTTCGATAAATTTCCCCCGCTTTTATTATCATCATCATCATCACCACGACGGTAAGGGATTTATTTTGATTCAACTTTAAATTAAAATCATTGTAAATTAAGACATGAACAAGATCAGAATAATTTTTAGAACTGTAGCACAAACACACACACACCCTTAACAAAGACTATGGTAGTTCAGTCGCGCCATTAACCACTAACATCCCTACAGTTCAGTCGCGCCATTAACTAATATATTTTTTTAAATTACAATCAAGTCAAATAAATAGTCCAGTTACAATCGTAAGAACTGTTTATCGGTAACGCCATTAACCAATAACATCACTAACAGTTCAGTCGCGCCATTAACCACTAACATCCCTACAGTTCAGTAGTGTCATTAACCACTAACATCACTATATCGGTTCGGTCGCGCCATTACAACCACCAACGTCACTATGGTTCACAGTCGCGCCATTAACCTATAACGTCACTATAATTTACAAGTCGCGCCATTAACCTAACATCACCACAGTTCAGTCGCGCCATTAACCACTACATCACTACAGTTCAAGTCGCACCATTCCTAGCTCCATCGAGCCTCCTCACCTGCCTGTATTCGTAGCAGAATTAAATTATCTAAAAGAAAACACCTAACTAATATTTAACTACAAGTTAACTTATTACAACATATCATTTCACAACCCTAGCATTATAGTTCACCCCAAAGGAAGGTACACACTTGACCTGGTTACAAGTTCACCCCCAGGGAAGGTACACATTTGGCCAGGGAAGGTACACATTTGGCCTGCTGGTTCTAAGGATAATAAGTTCACCCCCAAGGAAGGTACACACTTGGCATGCAGGTTGAGGGCTCTCCATCACTACAACTTCCTCCTCAGCACACACTCAGTCAGGCAAGTTAAAAAAATAAAAATAAATACAAAAGAAACTCTCATTTTCTTCTTCTGAAATACGTGATGAATCTTACCCTTATTGAGTTAATTAAAAACAATTATTTAATTATCCAGAATGGCTTAGAATTAGTACAAAACACAATACTAATATTTACCAATTTAAAATACACTTAATTGCAAGAGAATGATACCCCCTGTGTATATTATTTATAATCTACCCTAAGGCCCCCCCCCCAGTGTGGTAGGGTGGTGGTGGTGGTAAGGGATGATGGTGGTAGTGTGGTGTAGTGGTGGTGGTGATGGGGGACGGTGGTGGTGATGGTAGGGGGTGGTGGTGGTGGTGAGCCTAGTAGCCAGGTAGTGTACTGTATTTCTCCAGATGAAACTACACCACCACAACCACCATCACCACCTACAACACCACCACCACCACCACCAGAAATTGAGAAATGGCGATAATAATAGAGAGGGAGACGTGGTGATAATTAGATAAAATAACAAAAATAGTCCTGAAAGAAATCCAAACCACAATAATTACTAAACAGAGTGCCACTGCCTTACCTTCACGAGTGCCTGCTGAATGTCTCATACCTGGCACTTCACTTATATGAATCATTTGTACTATGTAACTATCTCCCTCTGATGGCATTTTCTGACACTTGCACTCACAATAACCTTACGAGTTTTATTCATCTCATTGTTTGTTTATCTTTCCTGCTCTTACTAACATATTAATTACTACACAGGTATACACATGTTCCAACACACACACACACACACACACACACACACACACACACACACACCTCGCATCCCCTCATACACATAACTTCATTATCATGTCCCATTCTCACTCATGTTTCAGCAAGTCTCCTTCACTGACTGCACCTCTCACACTCCCTCTCACTGCACCTCTCACTGCACCTCTCACACTCCCTCTCACTGCACCTCTCACATTCCCTCTCACTGCACCTCTCACACTCCCTCTCACTGCAGCTCTCACACTCCCTCTCACTCTGAAAATCTCTTCCACACTTCCAGTACCCGGTGGAGTCCTATGGTAGATCTCACACTTTGAGCACCTTTCTTACACTAACCACCTCTCTCACACTGAATACTTCCCACATACTGAGCACCTACATTTACCTCTCTCATGAATACTTCCCATTGAGCACCTATTTCATACATTGAGCACCTGTCTCACACCCTGAGCACCTCTCTCACACCCTGAGCACCTCTCTCACACGCACCTCTCTCACACGAGCACCTCTCTCACACACTGAGCACCTCTCTCACACGCTGAGCACCTGTGAGCACCTCTCACACCCTGAGCACACACTGAGCACCTCTCTCTCACACGCTGAGCACCTCTCTCTCACACGCTGAGCACCTCTCTCACAAACTGAGCACCTCTCTCACAAACTGAGCACCTGTCTCACACCCTGAGCACCTGTCTCACACCCTGAGCACCTCTCTCACACGCTGAGCACCTCTCTCACACACTGAGCACCTCTCTCACACGCTGAGCACCTCTCTCACACACTGAGCACCTCTCTCACACCCTGAGCACTTCTCTCACACCTTGAGCACCTCTCTCATACTAACTGCACCTCTCTCACACACCAAGCACCTATCTCTCACACTGAGCATCTCTCCGACACTCGCCACACCTTTAATAAGCACGGACTGCACCTGCCACCACCCCTCTGCTTCTCAGTACACGCGTTCCTTTGCTCTTGGTAAGTCCCTCACGTCCCCCCAGACACACTTACCACACCTTTGGCATTTCGCCCTCGCCCTGAGCACTGCTGCTGCTTGGCACCTCATCCACACTCTCAGCACTTTATCCCTCCTCCTTCACCTCTTGGCATCGTTCACACTCTTAACGCCTCTGCCAAGTTTTCAGCACTTCTCCAATCCTCCTGGTGGCTCTAGCTGCCATCCTTTCTCTTACGTTGTTGGCAGTTGCCCCCAAAACTTTCGAAGACCGCTACCGATATACTGTACGACAATACACATGATCACTGCTGAGCTTCCGGTGATGGTAGGGCGTGGTGAAGGAACTGTCAACCCTCTAATACACACAACCTCAGAAACGAAGACCTGCAGTACACACACACACACACACACACACACACACACACACATTCATTCGTCAGATATTTACAGGACCACGAAGCATTAAGGAGAAGACTTTATATATGAAAACCCAAGATTCTGTGGTGGTTTCTGACACGTAAAATAAAAACTCCAATGGAAACAGTTCTTCAAAAGGTCAAGGACTAACTACATAATATTTCCCAGAACCACATGAACAGGATACAACACACAGGCTTTATATATACACCCACTACAGAGACATAACATGATAGCTTCCTCATTAGCCCGATAACATGATAGGTTCGCTGGTTTAGATAGACCATATTAACGGGAAGTACTGTACAGGAACATGATGATTCTGAGGTATAGGGAAACACGATGATTTAGAGAAGTGGAATCAAAATAATAGAAAATAGGAAAACTGAAGAAGGATAACTGAGAGGGGATGATGATGATGATGATGATGATGATGATGATGATGATGATGATGATGATGGGGAAGATCAGTGAGTGAATTTAATAATGAGTAGAAAGAGCGGAAGACGATGATAGTTAAAGAGAAGCGGAGATAATAATGATGATAATGATTTGCATAAAAACTAAAACAAATTATGACTGAATAATAACCTGGGTGGGGGATTACGTCGTTCATAACAGCTTCAGTCAGTCAGTTTCCTTCGGGAGAGTTACTGAAGCTACGTTAATTAAAATATAAATTAAACCAAAACAAAAACCTAATAAAAACCTTAGATATCTTCTCAGTAGTGATGTTAATTCACACATAAAGAGTACCGACACACAAACACACTCTCTGGTGACGCTGATGTAACGCGTTATAAAAGATGAAGTGTGTATGAAAGACCGGTTTTTTTTTAATTAAGAAGCCATGTATGTGTATAAGTGAAGTATGTTTATATTGAGGATAAACTTACAAGTCACTTTTAAAACTTACAATGGTTGATCTCGGCCCCCCCCCCCTCCCCCCCCATGTTTAACGAATACGACAACAGTGTTCGCCTCTCACCGTCCAGAGCGGGTTTCGTTTTTATAATGCACGAAATTTAAGCCGTCTTCTGGTGGGGAAAACATCACCTCCTGTTGTGGATAATAAACATGGTGTTTAGTCCTATAAAGAGACGTAAAAAAAAAACGCAATCATGGACGTATTTAAAGAGGTAATTTTTTTTTTAGCTCTTAATCCCTCACTTACAGCTTAGTACACGGTGCCTGATAAGTGCGGCAGTGAATTCTCTCCTATCTATGTAACTTTTTCTTTACCAACACGAGCCACTGTTTCCCCTACAGAAGGACGGCAGGTGTGACATCAGCAGGATACTCCATGCCTTCGGTAGTGTTTCTATGAGGTTATTTTAATATGTCTTGTAATATATGATACTTAACCTTCTGAAAACACATTCTGAAGCAGATTTCATTGGTTTCATGCCTTTAAGTCTTCAGTCATTTAACGCCAGGTAGAACACGCACTTCAGGTATGTTAATGGTTTTTGTGTGAGTAGAAACACATTTTTGGGGCGGGAACTAGTCGACCCTACGATACAGCAGCATGCAACTTGTATTGTGATCAAGTAGATGTAGCCTATTG